ACGTGAATGGTGGAGTGGTTTGGACCGCTAGCTATTCAGCAGTTGGTCTTTAGTTCGAGATGCGAGGTGTGAGATCCGTTTTTATTTTCATGTACTGACAGGCGAAATGGCAGTTGGCGCGTTGATAGGGGCTTTTTGTGAGTAATAATTTTTTTGAGTGTGTTTTTGCAAAAAAGGCCACAGACCTCCTCTAAGCCTTCTAGTCACCGACAATGGGCCCCACATCACGCTGACATGCCAAATCAGCGTCATTTTCGTATCCAAATGTGTGTATTTGCACGTCCGAGCCAAGTTTCTGCACCAGTTCAATGTATGCCGCAAATTCTAGCACCAAAGTAACCATTTACGCCAAGTTTAAGCATCACATGTGTAATTGAATCAATAGCAAAGTCATATAAGACCAAACATATGTACTGCTCTATAGTGTACCAATTTTAAATGGACTAGGTCCCCTCTCTCTCCTCCTAGCATCTCAAGCTAAACATGAACCGTTGATTCAGCTCGCTGTGTTCCAGATCTGCCGTCAGATCTTAACCGAACCGAATCCAAGGGCTGAGATCTCCGGGATTCGCAGCCGGCCCACGCGCGCTTTGGTTTTGGCCGCTTTGGACGCGCGCGCTCTAGAGTGTCCCCACCTAAATAAAATACCAACAAAAGAAAAATCCCGCGCCATCTCTTCTTCTCTCTCATCGAAGCAGACTCTGTTTCGTGGTTTCACCGTTCCCTCGCCGTCGCCCTGTACTTGCGCCACCGCAACTCCCCGACAGATCTGCCATACGCCACCGGCCGCGGCAAGCCCTCCTCCCTTTCAACCCCAATCGCTCAAACTCGGCCGCCACAGGAGCTTTTCCTTCATGCGCTCACCACCCCTTGCTCGTGGTCGCCGCCACCGCTTCTTGGCATCTCCGGCCGTACGCGCATCAGGCCAATCCGCCCCGGAGGCCATCGCTGCTGCAAGTGCTAGCAGCCGGATGACATACCAGTGCAGCTCGACCGCTGTGGACAAAGCATCCTCAACCTCACGCACTAACATCTTAGATATTGAAGAGGTAAGATACAATTTGAGAAAGTATAGAAGTGGTGCTAATTTCTTTAATGATCTTCATATATTCTAATTATATGTGTATCAGATGCCATAAATCCGAACCCAGATTTTGTATTTCAGTATAGAAATCAAGAAAGCATACTCTGACCACTACGTGTTTGTGTTTATGTCCACAAAGTTTTTTTTTTCCGTTTCATTTCTCATACTCTCATAGAAGTGTAACAGCCATTTAAAACCCCATCTTCACTGCTGTATGTTACATTTGAAATGATCTTTTATAGAGAACACTGCTATATGTTACACTGTACCATGTCAAAATCTGTACTGACAAAACATCAATACTGTCTATTGTTGGATTATTTATGTCAATTAATATGCCAAAAAATGGTTTTCTACAAGAAGTTTTATGTGACTTAAGCTTCGCGTGCATATACTGCTGCATGCTCTTCCTATGCTTATGCTAATGTTGTCTACTATGTTGGTCAGCGCCTTGGCAGAGTCAAGTGTGGACAGTTATCTAGGAAGAAAGTGAATGGAGTTCAAGTAACCATACAGCAGGATCCATTGGAATGCCAGTACGGGCCCCTTTTCAAGATATTACAAATGTGGTTGACTCACATAGTTTATCAAAAGGGAAACAAGGTATGTCTTTAATATTTTTGGTCACCAGAATCTTGAAACAAGATTACAACTTCTTAGGTGTTGTTATATAAAACCTATGCCTTATGTATTAAAAGAGTGCTCATGGTTTGTCTGAAATGTTCTATTTATTTCAGCACAAAAAGTTCTTGGTTCAGTGGATCATCCAATTACTGGGACAAAAGATCGATCAATCCATCTGGCATATCCATACAGTCAAATACTCCTTCGACTGGACACGTAAGTCTACCAACAGAAGCTTCCGAGCATAAGCGTTATCATGACCGGGAAAGATACTTGGAGATGACTCTAGAACAGCGCACTGCCTACCTGGAAAGAAACCGTGAGTACAAACGGAGAAGGAAAAATCCTGCTGCAGTTAGTGATAATGCACAATCTGGGAGTCAAACTTGTACTTCTACCACCAGTTCAATTACAGAAGGTACATATTAATGCAATAATATTCTGTCTTATTTTTTTAGTATTAACATAAATTTCTTCATGTCCTAATAATTACGGGAATTGTCACTTAATCATGTTATATTTATCTCCAAAACGGGCATGTATATGTATATAATAAAAAAACATGCTTATAATTCAGATTGTGATAGGAATTTCTGATAAGTAGAATATTACATATTTACTGTATAATGTATGCTGTTATTTTTCCGGCGGAACTCATACCAATAATTTGATGAGCTTAAACTTTCTGCATCTTACAATATCCTTCGGTTTGGCATAATCAATCTGGTTGCTAAAAGTTAGACCGCGATCAGTCCATCCGACATATCTACATCATGTAATTAATTGACAGGTACTGGTCAACATAAGCGTGTATCAGTCCATCCTTTCCACCAAAAATGAATACGTGGATGAATTAATGTGAAGCTTATAGACCGATTTCCTGGAGAAGAAAAGGTCTACTATAGTTTTGATTCAGCAGTGGATGATACTCACAATCAGTACCCACCTGAATTTCTGAATTCTCCCACACCTAATGGCCTACCTCCACATGTTCTCAGGTTGATAATAAATTGCCCTGTGATCTTGCTTCGGAATTTAGATCCTCATCATGGATTATGCAATGGCACAAGGCTTATTATTAAGGCATTTCAAGATAATACTATCGATGCTGAAATTATTGGAGGACAACATGCTGGAAAGTGAGTATTCCTTCCAAGAATTCCTTTGTATCCTTCTGAAGATGATGTGCTTCCCTTCAGGTTCAAGAGAAAGCAATTTCCAATTCGTCTTAGCTTTGCAATGACAATCAATAAAGCTCAAGGTCAAACAATTCCGCATGTTGGTATCTACCTTCCAGAACCCGTGTTCTCTCACGGTCAACTATATGATGCATTGTCCCGAGGAATATCAAGGCAAAGAACAAGAATACTTGCCAAGCCAAACAGGGATATCAACCCATCAGGAAAAAGTACCAAAAATATTGTCTATAAGGAGGTTTTGGCACGATAAATGTACATAATGCAGAACTGTCTTTGTTTCACATATATATGAGCATGCTTTACTTTGTCTCATAATATTGGTACGTTGACAATTGTTGAGATTTTTTTTATAAATATACGCATATATTAGAATCTTGATTAACATAGGCCTTATATTCTAATCTGTTCTACAGATACATGGATACATAATGTTTTCTGTTCAGAGAGAGCACGAATGGAGTATTGTGCTACTATTGTCAATTTTTTTGTTTGCTGTAGTTCTAAGTTTGTGTCCAGAAGATCATCGACTAGATCAGGATCCTTGTTTCATTTATAATACACCGAATCATTTTTTATGTGCAAACCATGAATTTGCTTTAGTAAGCTGAAATTTGGACATTTACGTTTTTTGATTATGCCAGCCTTAGATTGCACAGAACCATGTTCGACATTGCAGACTGGTTTTATACCATATAGAAGGTGTTGTTTTTATCTTGTCATTGAACACCTCTTCGCACTTTTTTTTTGGTCTCAATACTTAACTTGATACACTCTTATGTTGGCAGGGTCAATTGGAATCATATGCCTTTATGGATCATGAACTTGAAGTGAAGGCTTGTGCTGAGCTCTAAGCATCCATGCTTCAGGCAACATTAGTATTAGATGCCAGCTTCATTTTGGCATGAGCTACACTCTTTAGTTGTGGATTTGAAAAATATTAGTAAAAGAAGTTTATGTATCTATATGTATTGTTGTACGTGACATAGCTGTGTATAAACAATACGTGAAATCAACCCTGAAAACAAACTCAGCTCGCAAATAGCAATAATTGTATGGTGGGGATTCTGCCATGACCTATTTGGTTATAAGTTATTGATGTTCAACTTGTAGCTGTGAGCACTTGTGTTCTTGCAAATTTTAGTTGAGCTTTTGCTTATGTTGTACAGTGGGATACATTTTCCAATCCTATATATGGATGAGAAACAAGGGGTCTAAAAATTGGAATGATTATTTTCTTTTACGTAAATTGGATCCTCTGCTATCTTTCAGTTCCATCTTAACTGGTTACCACGTGCAAAGCACGTGCAGTTTACTAGTATGTGTAGGCGAGGAAAAAGAAAAAGAGAAAAACAAAAAACGATCAGATCTGCAATAGGCAAACTACAACAATGATCATATCCGCACCAACCATCTCATAACAGCACACGGACGACGAGGTTTTGCAACATCAACTCATTCATAAAGGAAGCGGCGCTTAACAGCCACCATCACCACATCCAACCATCTAAGGCCTGAATCTAGATTTTCACCTGAAGAACCAACCCGAGAATATCCGAGCAATGTCTTCAACAAGTTAACAATGTTTAAACATCACCATTGTCCGGTATATAACCAACTCAAGTATCTAGGCTTTCACTCCGGAACTCGAGATTGGGTGCTCGAGTAGCACCACTTTTGACGTCACTTATGTGTCGTCGCCATCGGTTTTCTGCGATCTCAGCAGCTACATGTGGTGTGCCACCGCCGCCCGCTGCACAATTACCGCTCTGCGTCAAGCAAGTTAATATGGATCATCATGCTTGCTCTTGGGCATTTATCTCAACCGGTGTTGCATGTATTCTCTTCTTTCAGTTGCACAAGAGATATGCCTAGTTTACAGACTTATTTCTCTAATTGAGATGATTTGGAATTTTGGGCTTGGGAATCCATCTCGATAAACCAACCAGGTGTTGGCTTTCTACCCCGCTCTAGTTCAGAGGGGAACTACTAATATCATCGGATCCTGGATACAGCAAACTGGAGAGAAGAATCAGCCACTGCACTAGCTACCAGCAAGCCGCTGATCATGCCTGATCGTCTGCTAAATTGCACCTCTACTCCACGGGCCAGGTCACGGCAATGGGGCTCCTCACCGTGCGCCGCCTCCCCTGCCCCGCGCTCCGCTGCTTCCACACCAGGTACCCCTCCGCGCTGTCCTTCCCCGCCGCGGCCGACGCGTCCACCCGCACCTGGAAGCTCTTCTTCTCGCCGAACTCCGCGAACGCCAGCGTCGTGGGCGCGACCGTGACCTTCACCCCTACCGGCGCGCCCACCCGCGCCGTGTACGTCGAGTTGGGCGCGCCCACGTTGGTGACCGTCCTCCGGAGCACTGTTGATGTCTCGCCGCCGCCGTCCTTGAACGCCACCGCGATCGACGGGTAGTTGAGCGTGAACCCAGGGTTCGCGTGCAGCAGTTCGCTGCAGTTAACGGCGCTGTGCGTGATCTTGAACACCTCCCTCTGCGTGTACCCCAGCGTGCAGAGGTGCGTCACGTAGTCTGCCGGCTCGATGTCGTAGACGAGGCCCGGGTCGACGGCGAGGGCGGGGTTCACGTGCCCGGCGCCCATGGCGAACGCGTCGGCGCGCTCCCCGCTGTCGCCGTCGGTTATCGGCTTGCCCTGCCGGTCCGTCACGTCGGCCGTCGTCATGATCGCCGACCGCACCATCGCCGGGCTCCATGAAGGGTGCGCTGACCTGACCAGCGCTGCGATGCCGCTCACGTGCGGGCACGCCATCGACGTCCCCGACAGCACCGTGAAGTTGGACCGCCGCGCGTCGCCGTCCAGCCCCGACGGGCCCACGCTGCCCGGCCACGCCGCGATGATGTTAACCCCGGGGGCGATCACGTCCGGCTTCAGCACCGACGGGCTCGTCACGCTCGGCCCGCGCGCCGAGAAGAGCGCCACCGCTGGCGCGCGCGCTCGCCCGATCCGCGTGCCGCCGAACGCGATCCTTGCCACCGGCCGCGGCGTCGAGCTGATGTACTTCTTGAGCTCGACAGCCTCCTGGTAGCCGACGAGCGTCGCGGGAAGGACGTGCACGTCGACGGAGTCCTCCTGCCGGTTGATCTCGGAGTTCGCGAGCACCATGGCCGCCCCGCCCGCTTCTTTCACCGCCTGGCCTTTGTCTGCCCGGCCGGTGATGCCGCGGTCACATACCACCATCTTCCCGGCGACGTCGGCCGCGGAGAGGGAGCCCTTCATGCAGTACATCGCTTCCCGGGACCCACCGGCGGCGTAGAACAGCTCGAGCGCCTTCCCGCCATTTTTCAAATCGACTTTTCCCGGGTACATGGACTCGCCGTACAGGACCCGGCCGTTGCCGAGCCCGACGTACGCCGGGAAGCGGCGGTCCAGTGTGGCGGCGCCGACGGTGAGCATCCAGGGCGCTTCGTTGGCCACGGAGCTCGGCTCCGGCCCGTTGTTACCGGCGGCGCTCACGACGGAGACGCCGCGCACCGTGGCACGGAAGCTGCCGATGGCGATGCTGTCCTCGAAGAGCGGGATGGGAAAGCCGCCAAGGGAGAGGGAGAGCACGTCGACGCCGTCACGCACCGCATCGTCCATCCCGGCCAGTATGTCGGAGCTGAAGCAGCCGTTAAACCAGCAGACCTTGTACGCGGCGACGTGCGCGCCGGGAGCCACGCCGCGCGCCTCCCCGGCCCCGGCGCCGAGAACACTGGCTCCGGCCACGGCGGCCCCCGCGGCCGTCGACGCCGTGTGAGTCCCGTGCCCGTGCGCGTCCCGCGGCGAAGCATACTCCCGCGTGCGCGCCGCGGCGTCCGACGGGTCTGTCGGGTAGTTGGCGCGGTGGCCCTTGGAGTAGAACCGCGCGCCGACGAGCTTGCGGTTGCAGTTCGTCGCGTTGAACCGCTCCCCGGTCTCGCACACGCCCCGCCACCGGTCCGGCACCGGCGGCATCCCGCGGTCGTCGAAGCTCGGGCTCTCCGGCCACACGCCAGTGTCGAGCACCCCGACGACCACGCCGCGGCCGTACCGCGCGCGTGCCCACGCCCCGGTCGGGCACACGTTGAGGCCGAGGAACCGGTAGGAGTACGTGGTGTGCAGCTCGACCCGGCGGTCCTCGCGCACCGACGCGACGCCCTGCAGCGCCCGCAGAGCTGCCGCCTCGCCGACCGAGAGCCGCGCCGCAAAGCCGTCGAACACGGTGTGGTAAGAGTACAGCAGCCGCGACGACGGCTTCCACTGGCGCTTGTCATCTTGCTCCGCTGAGGAAGGCACGGATTTGATGAGGAAGGCGAGGTGCCAGTCGTGGTCGGAGGATGTTGCGTCGCCGCCGCCAGTAGATCCAAGTGGGTGCAGCTGCACAATGTAGGTCCGCAGAGCCTCCTCCTGATCCGCGGCGGCGCCATGAAGAAACACCAACGAGGAGGAGAGGAAGAGGAACACCACGTGAGAGGCGAACAGGTGGAGGAAACCCATGGCTGCCTAGCTGAGCAACCGAGCAGGTGCCTGCTGTGGTTTGCAACGGTGAGGTTGGAGATGGAGAGGTGAGATTCATCAGAATGCACGGTGCTATTTGAAGCGGCAGCGCCGGGGAGCGGCGCGCGGGCGCGGGGGGAGGCACGGCGAGAATTTGAGACGGGGAGGGAGGCCTCGTGAGGATCGCCCTCGTCACCGGCCGTGACACGAGGCGCGCACCGGAGGGAGTAATGGCGGCTGGGTCGTCCGGCCGCTCGTCGTCCGAGCTCTGACTGACGCCGGGTTCCTTAATGACGCAGACACGGGTAGAGACAGAGGAGGAAGACGGAGGGAGGAGCGTATCTGTTCTGTGCGTAGTGCAGGAGTAATTGTTCAGCGCGCGGGTGTCGTGCTACACAACACGACGACGGGCGCGCAGGGCCTGAATCCTCCATTGCTCGTCCGGGCCAAGCCATGCAAGCGCCGGCCTCGCTGCCTCGTGCGTGCCATTTATGATGCCTGCTGCCTCCTTGCTTCTGTTGCGCGCCGCCCCAAGAACGTCTTTCATTCTTTGCACGCGTATATGATGATGGATGCGATGCGTGGCCGAGGCGCTCCTCCTGCGAGAAGCTTTGCACCAGCGCATTTATCATTGTGATGAAAGTGTCAAGGTGCTAGTGGCCAATAGGGTGCCACCGTGATACGGGCTCTTGGGCCGTTGAATCTCAGATCTGATGGTTCCCTGAGAGCTTTTGAACATTGTACAAAAATAAAATCCTAGAGTCGGAAAATTGCGCACAGATACAATAGCTTCTCATATGCCGTTGGATCTCAGATCTAACGGCTCCTGGATGCCTGTATCATGGTACCATCTAAGAGCCGGTAGCATCTGATATTTTTTCTGTTGACTGTGATATGCCTGCTACGCCTGGTACTATTTAATTCTATGTTCGGAGGGTATACTAGGAAAATTAAAGTTTGGATGGTATTTGAAAGTTTTGTTCAGTTTGACTAAAGCATTTAAGTTTTTTTTGACATAGTGAAAAATGGTAAATAGTTTACCTAGGTTCTCTGAGTATTATAGGAAATTTTGATAGTATTTTGCCTAGCAATTTGAGCATTTGGCTATTTTCGATGAAATTTGGATTCAAAACAATTCTGAGACATATCAACTTCGGCTTGGCTCGATCCAAGCCAGCCAAGCCACTCCCCTAGTAAATGACATGTGGGTCTTGCATTTCGAATTTTGCTTCCACATCCTAACCTACTTTATTACAGGATTTTTCGTACTGAAAACCTTTAGAGTTGTTATTTTGTGTTACAATTGCCTCTAACTTACGTCATGCTATAATGTCCTCAAATAAAAACTAGTTAAGTACTCCCCTGAAAACAAGTTGCAACTAGCGGAAACACTGTCGATTACTCAAGTTGGATGTGAATCTTAAGAATAGAGTAGGTATGTTGATTGCTCCTGGATGAGGAGGGAGACTGGACTACCTCAGCTACCTACTTCGTTAGCTCATGCCACTAGGCACTCTTCATAGGCGCCTGCGAGGACCCACATTGGAGGCTCACCTGGAAGCTTTGGGTGTCGCTTCACATTAAGTTCTTCGTCTGCCTTGCGCTCCAGGACCGATGCTGGACAGCTGAGCGCCTAGCTCGTCATGTGCTACCCAAAGAGGCTGCTTGCGCCTTCTGCGTTCAAGAGGAGGAGACAATGCAACATCTACTCGCAGGGTGCTCGTTCTCCCGGCAGGTGTGACATGAGATACTAGGCTGGATTAGATCAACCACTGACCTGTCGAGTGTGGACACTGAATTCCACTCCCGCTGGGCCTACTCTTTCGACCATGCACCCAGGCCGGAGGGAAAGGGATTGGCCTCCCTCATCATCCTCACCGCCTGGTGGCTCTGGAAACACCGGAACGCTGGCATCTTCGATGGCGAGCAGCCTTCGGTCTCCCACCTCGCCAACATAATCGCAGACGAAGCGCGCCTTTGGGTTAGGGCCGGCGCCACCGGGATCCAACAGATCATCCCCGAGAGCTAGTTTGTGTTCATGCAGGGGCTAAGCAACCACGTACATGTGTGCTCCTAACTCATTTCCATGCCTTCTTGAGTACATGGCTTAGTGAGTTTATGTAATCCCATGCTGTAACTCTCTTCTTCTATCAATGAAAATATATGCAGCCTTAGCATATTCACGAAAAAAGGATGAGGAGGGAGACTGAGCCGCTTCCACCATGGAGAATTTCTCACCCGCCTTTGATGACAATTAATGCAATCAGCTATAAGGTCTTGTGCTTTATTCACTGAGTTTAAACATTGTCTGTCGATAAGATTTCGGGGGTGATAGACTAATACTGAAGGATATTTAACTTATCGTGTCAAGTGTATATGGTGCAACAGGCCGAACCATGTGTTTTTTGTTTTTCCACTTTTGCTCGTATTTTTATTTTATTTTAGTTTTCATCTATTTGATTTTTGTTTTCCCTTTTATTATTTTCTGGGATACATTTTTTATTTTATTTTTCTAGGGCAAATATGTGAATACTTTTGAAGTGTATAAACATATAACCTGGCATGGCTGAACAACTTTTTTCAAATCATAAAAAATTTGAAAAGTTCATTAACTTATTTGTAACATATGATAATTTATTTATGTGCATGAACATTTCTATTGTGATATGTGAAAGAAATTGTTTTCCTAAAAAAAAGTTTAGACAATTAACCTTTTGATATTTTTAAACATTATTAAATAAAAGTGCAGTTCTTAAATATATGCAAATTAAAATATATTAGTTAACGTGTCTTACTAGTGGTGACCCATATAATAACCCTTAAGGCGATTTGCTAAGCTATCTCTGTATCTGGCGGCAGCGGGACTCCTTCTCCTTCTTATGGGCATCATATAGCTAATTCCCAACCTAAAGGCAGAAGGTCTTCTTGATCTTGGCCTCTACCTTAGCAAGCCAATCCTTCTTATCAGCACGAGGAGGTTACTCAAAATCACCATCGTCACTCGAGCCATCAGTATCTGCAAAAACCTCCTCTCTCATACCACCACGAGGGTTAGAATGCTTCTTCACTCAGAGACGCTTCACATCATGAACAATGGGGTTGTTGACGTTTAATTTAAGCATGCGCACGTGCATGTGGGATGGATGTGTGGAGGGATTCGCAGAGTTCGAAAACATATAAAGTAAATCTAGGTTTCAATACAAAACATACAAATGTTACGGTTGCATTTAAAAATAAAAAAATTGCAAAATATATTCAACATTGATCTTGTTTCAAACATCTCGTGAAAACAACAACGGCGGTGAAACAAAAATCTAATTTGGATGTACGGTTCAACATATATGACAATATTTATATTTGAAGAAAGAAAGAAAGAACACCGACTCAATGATGGGAGAGAAAAGAGTGGAGGGTGTTTTGTTTTTACCATAGTATATGAGGCCCTTCTGCAAATACTCCACCAAATGTTTGAGCTTACTTGCATCCCTCCGTTCCATATCCAACGGCTCAAATGTCACTGGTGTATCCGGTGCACCAAATTGGACTGGTGCACATGATACGTCCTCCCATATCATGAGTAAAAGTTGCACGGGTTGGCCGATCCTCGCCGTCCTTGCATCTACCGGAGCTCAATCGATAGTGCGGAGTCGAGCTCCACCGCGAGCTAGCCATCGCGTACTAATGTACTATGGCACAGGTGAAGGCGACATCATAGAAACAGAGGAGCTTTGGAGTATACTAGTTGTTGGGGTGCCACCCGGTGGCGCCGCCTGAGACAAAGCTGGGCGGTGCCAGGTGGGAGGCGCCTCTTTCACATTGTTGGGTGTAGCTCACAATGTTATTACATGGTCTGCAAAAAGAGAACGGTGGAAATGCAACACACTCATACCATGAATCAGCCTTAGGAGTCATAGATATTAATATGTCCCTATAGTTTACATGACTGGCGACATAAACGACAATGGTTGAAAAGCAACACGCGCAACACAAAAGCAAAGGTACAATAGGAGCATTTTCATCTCTTGTTGTGAAAAGGAAGTCCCGCCTAAAGCTAGAATGCACAAGTATAATATATTATTGACACCACTTTTGTTGCTTAGAAATCAGAACATAGAGAAAGAAAATGGGAGATAAAATCGCTTCCACCAATTCCAAGCGAAGATAAACCTGAATGGACAAGCACATATATTAAGAAAGGATATGATATAAAGTGAACTGCGTAATCCATTTCCCATAAGGCTATGATGGGAAGGAGGTCGGGAGGACGGCGCCGCATGATGATCCCTATCCATGCCGACCGTAGTCCTAGGCCTCATGATATGCAACCTCTGTCGCTCACTATTGAATGCCCATAGAAAAATCAGGACTGTAGTAGACATGTCATACGTAAAGTTTTACCAATCAAGCATGCACTAAATGAGTGTACCTATTATACATAAAGGGGAGGTAACTGAGATAAATGTTGGGTCCTTTTCTTAGAAGGAAGTTGGTCATCAAATAGGCATAGATAATCAAATTTGGAATTTCTCCAGGAACAATCAATTTTTGAAACTCACAGCAATATGTAGTGCACGTGTGTTAGGTCAGATAGATATGTTGTAGAGATTTAGTAATGAAGCATCCACTGAACAAAAGAAACAATTATAAATGAAAAGGAACTATGTGGGCTATGCATGTTTCAGTGTCATGTAACTTATGTTATAGAACGAAACCGAGCTAGCAAACAAATCCACTGTGAAATCTTCATGTGGTAAAGAACATTTGTAGAATAACATGAAATAAATATTATTTTCTGAGCACAGGCAATCATGCTGATACATTTAATGATTTATTTAAGCAGTAATAATCAGTCTATATTGATGTTCGATTAGTGGTAAGAGGTATTGAGTGGAATCAATTTGTTTAACGCATGACATGAGTGAATTGTGCAGCTACCTGGGGGCCTAAGCCATTTCATTGACAGAGGCAATAGGTAGAAACAGAGAGATAGTTGAATTTTA